GAATATAAAAGAAATATTAGGAAAGTAATTGGGTAATCCCTGCCGGGTTGGAAAAAGGACCTTGCTAATCCCTCAGAAATCCTTTTAAATATTCCTTCCTGCCTCCTCCTCATAAGTAAAACTATGGTTACGGCTACCCAAGCACCTGCTCAAATATGGGGGAGCAAATTCTAGAAGCTTGTGTTTTTGTCTCATTTCTGAGATCATCTAGACAAGGGGTGGGCAAGAGCAGGTCTAGACTGGAAAGAGAAAGTTCTCCACTGCATCTCAGACTCAGAGAATAATTCTTCCCTCCCGTACTCCTAAAATGACTGTGGTTGTCCTTGTCAGCTTTAAAAAGAAAAAAGCAGACGAAGATCTGTGAATAGCATTCATCAGCTCATTAGCATTTAAAGGGCCCTTTGTGTCTTTCTCTCTTCCTTCTTTCCCTGTGCCCTCACACTGTGTCTAACAGTTTTTCCCTACTCCTCCATCCCAGTCTTTCTCTCTTTCCTCTTGCTTTTCTCTCTGACTCCTTTCCTTACTCTCTGTTGTTGCTTCAGGCTCCTTTTCGCAATCTTCCTCAACTTACAATCCTGAGACATTTTTGTTGTTGTTCACTCCCTATTCTCTGTGACCCCCATTTGGGGTTTTCTTGGCAAAGATACTGGAGTGGTTTGCCATTTCCTTCTCCAGCTCCTTTTACAAATGTGGAACTGAGGCAAATAGGGTTCAGTGACTTGCCCAGGGTCACACAGCTCGTAAGTGCCTAAGGCTGGATTTGGACTCAGCAAGATGAGTCTTCCAGACTCCAGGCTCAGTGCTCTATCCACTGTGCCACCTAGCTACCCTAGGTGGCATATGTTTACGTATTTGTGGAGTTTATTGAATAGAATATTACATTCCTATTCTTAATTTTAAAACTGGGTGCCTTGAGCATTTAAAATTTCCCATTCTCAAACCCAAATCCAACCTTCCAAATTAACTAATTAAATTACTTTTTATTTGAGTGTTGCCCTTGATTCATTTTTTTGGTAGGTCAACAGTCCTTGACTGAAATAAAACAAAAATCTTTTCCATCTTTGATATAGGTTATTTCCAGTTGCAAAGTGAAGAACTGAATATAATTAAGTAAAATGATTATTGTTTACGTTATATAGTTTATCTGTATATACCATTTACATATATGTGCATACACACAGAATGATATGTTCCTGCTACAATGAAAAGAGAACTGGATTTGAACTCAAGTTGCAGTTCAAATCCCCACACCCCCCCCATCTCTCTGTGTGACCTTGAGAAAGTTACTTAACCTCTCCAGCCTCAGTTTTCTCATTTGTAAAACGAGGGAGACAGACTCAATGACCTATATGGTCCCTTCCAGTTCTAAATCTTAGATCTTGTTATGATCCCTATAAATAACAGTGCAAAACCTGCAAAACCTGCTTTTCTCTTATACTCTAGAAAGGTCTATAATGATTTCCAGTTGCCATAATGGGATATGGTCAACCACATTTGAGATACAACATTTCTTCTGTTAGGTGACCTTGGGCAATTCACTTAACCCCTCCAGGCCTCAATTTGCTCCTCTGTAGGATGAGAAGGTTGGACTATGACTTCTAAGTTTCCTTATTGCTCGAAGGCTATATTTCTATGGCTGATCCTATAACTGTACACTTTAGACAGAATTGCAACTATTCATCATTCATGACACCAACTTCCTGGTTTGACCTGACTTCCGTGAAATGGATTTAATCCATTAGCTTTTTGATGCTCTTCTTACCTAGTTTTAAGATGAATTTACTCATAAGGCGAAGGCGGCTGGGTGGTGCAGTGGATAGAGCGTTCAGCCTGGAGATGAGTTCAAATCTGTCCTCAGACACTTACTAGCTGTGTAACCCTGGGCAAGTCACTTCACCTTGTTTGCCTCAGTTTCCTCATCTGTAAAATGAGCTGGAGAAGGAAATGGCAAACCAGTATCATTGCCAAGAAAACCCAAATGGGGTCCTGAAGAGTTGGATACGACTGAACAATAACAGCAGCACATATGACAGAAAGATCAATCTTGTCAATAAGCGGTTATTAAGCCTCAACTGCTATGGGCCAGGTACTGTGCTGAGTCTTAAGCATCAAATTAAAAGCCAAAATGTTCCCTGTCCTCCAGAGCTTACACTCTATCAGGGAAAATCATGTATACATAGAAAACTAACATTTGGGAAGATAGAGAAGGGCTTCATGTAGGAGGTGGCACTTGAACTAAGCTTTGAATGAAATTAGGAGTTCTGGAGATGAGGGAGGAGGGCATTCCAGGTGTGAGGCACAGCCTATGCAAAGGCACGTAGGTGGGCAATAGAATGTTGTGTATGATAAAAAGGAAGTAGACCAATTGGGAAATATGATGCACGAAGGGGTATAATAAGCCTGGAAAAGTAAGCTGGAGCCAGATTATAAAGGATTTTAGATGTAAAACAGAGGAATTTGTATTTTATTCTAGTGCTAATAGGAAACCACTGGAGCTTTTTGAGTAGGGGAATGACACAGGAAACCCTTTGCTTTAGGATCTCACCATCTATGAAGATGTGCTGGAGTGAGGTGAGACTGGAGGCAGGGAGACCAGTTAGGAGGCTGTTATGAGAGTCCAGGTAAGAAGGATGAGGGCCTGAACTAAGGTGAGGTTCCTATGAGTAGAGAGAAGGAGATAGTTGAGAAAGAGGTTGTAGAGATAGAATCTATAAGACTTGGCAACTAATTGGTTACAGAAGCTAAGGGAGGGTGAAGAAATGAGGTTGATCCTAAGTTTGAGTGACTAAAAGGGTAGTAGTATCTTCAGCAGAAACAGGGAAGTTAGGAATAGGGGTGGGTTTGGTGAAGGCATGGTGATAATGAGTTCTGCTTTGGGTCTATCAAGTTTGAGATGCCTATGGAACATCCAGTTGAAAATGTCCAATAGTGAATTGGTAATGTAGGGCAGGATATGAGATCTGGGAGCCATCTGCAGAGGTGATAATTGAATCATTGGGAGCTGATGAGATCACAGAAGGAAAGAGTATAGAGAAAGAAGAAAAGAGAATTCAAGACAGGACTTTAGGGGTCATACACAGTTGGGGAGCACCATGGTTGATGGTCCAGCAAAAGAGACTGTAGAGGACCAAGAGAGAGCAGTGTCAAGGAATGCCAGAGAAGAGAGTGCATCCAGATGGAAAAGGTACCCAACAATGTCAAATGCTGCAGGGAAGTCAACAAGGATGAAGAGTCAGCAAAGGTTATTGGGTTTGGCCATTTAAATGTAATTGTTAACTTTATAGGGATCAATTTCAATCGAATGATATGGTGGTCAGATTGTGAAGGGTTGAGAGGAGACGAAGTAGAGGCAGTGAGCATAGAAAGCTTCTTCTAGGAGTCTGACTATAAAAGAACAGAGATATGGAGGATAATAGCTCAAGAGATGAAAAAAGTTACTCCACTTTAATTTTCAGTTGGCCATCATCTAGGTGTAACAAGGGCAGGGCAACCAAGGTTTTATCCCAGGGTTCCAACATTCAATGGTGACATATATTTCCTTCTAAAGGCAGTCACCCACACTGTTATCCTCTCAACTCACTGTCCTCTGCTGGCCTTATTTATGTTGGACAGTGGGTGCCACTACTGAGATACCCACCCTCCTGCTGGGGCTTACCTCATCACCCTGCCCCCTACCTTCCATTTCACCTGGGATGAGTGAAGCAACTGAATCGAAGGTGGACTCTTCTCTCTGTCCTTCTGTTATTCTCCCCAAATTGAATTTGCTCCAGTTTCCTGAATGCCTGGATTTGACTAGATTATAAACTCCTCGAGGGCAGGAACACTTTCTCTCTTCTCCTCTTCCCCACCACTCTTCCCTCTGTGCCTAGCACAGCGCCTTGTCCACAACAGATAGTCAATAATTCTCAATAGACTTCAACTGAACAACATGGTAGGGTTCATTCTTCCCCTGACGATAAATACCACTGGGCTACCCTTCATCTGATGGCTGCCATCTTCTCCATCCACTTCTCTTGGCTCTCTCACGGAGTAATTCATATAGTCTCTGCACTGACATTCCTTAGCAAACCCTTCCAATATTATTTTTAACTTCCTGATGTTGGGTTGATTAACTAAACAAGAAACAATAAATATTTCAAAACCCGAAAGGCATTCCACTCCACCCTAGTCATATTCCAGTGCCCAGTTGTCTGCCCTTTGTCCCTTTGGAAGAGTTAATTCCCACAGAGAATCTGAGAATGTTTAGAGAGAAAGGGCTTTAAGAAGTCATCTGGACCATCCCGACTTTGAACAAGTTTCCTAAAGTCAATGCCATAAGCCTCAGAACCTGTTCCATTTTTAAAGTCCAGAGGTGTCTTAGGGAATAGCCCAGAGCAGGGTAGTTTGATGCAAAGAGTCTTGGATTTGGAATTAGAAGGCCCTGGACTAAAGTCCTAGCTCTGACATTTATTAACCGTGTGACCCTGGACAAGACACTAAATTTCTCTAAGCTTCTGTTTCTGTAGCTATAAAAAGGAAAATAATATCTACCTCATAGGGTTCAAGAGAAATAATGTCTATAAAGTATTTTGTCACCATAAATGCCCAGATAAATAATCTCCTGGGTATAGGGAGCTCCTGTTTGGAAACCCAATGTATATTGTAGCTCATCTGCAGGCAAGTGTTAGAGAGTTGCCTGGGGCACTAAGAAATTAGGTGACTTGGCCAGGGTCACACAACTGGTATTAGAACCAGTACTAGAATTCAGGTCGTTTTCACTCCAAGGCCAACTCTCTACCCATCATATCACAAAGCATTAGAAAAGAGGCAGCTGGGCAATGCAATGGATAGAGCAACAGCCCTGGAGTCAGGAGAACCTGAGTTCAAGTTTGGCCTCAGACACTTAATAGTTATGTGACCCTAGGCAAGTCACTTAACCCTGATTGCCTCCCCCCAAAGCATTAGAAAAACATAAATTATTATCCTAATTGTAAATAATGATCCTTTTCTTAAATCTGCAGAACCCAAGAACTTTGCAGCTGGGACGGAATTATTCATTTTTACACAGGTAAGCTATGACATTGTCACTAGGACCTTTAGCTCTTCTTTGTTGGTTCCTGAAATTTGATAGGTGTCTTTGAGAAAATAGAATTGGACCATCCTTGCCCCAGTGGGCTCATGGTATCATAACTTGACTGAGAGATTACAGGCAAAGCTGTTTAGCTCTTCTTCTTAAGTAATCTAATTTCTTCCCTTTCCTACTAAGCCTCTTTAACTAGGGACATAATTCCCTAAGTGCTAAACCTTGTGTACCAGCCACTCATAGGAAGATGAGCCCTTGGGGCAGACAGGGAGAGGGAGAAAGAAAGAGAAGGGGAAGGGAGGAGGGGGAGGAGAGAAAGAGAGACAGGAAGGGGAAGAGAAAGGGAGGAAGGGAGAGAGAAAAGGAAAGGGAGACAGAGACAGGGGAGAGAGGGAGGGAAAGAGAGAGAGAGGAGAGAGTGATACTTAAGGAATTATGTTCTTAGCTAAAAAGGCTTAGTAGGAAGGGAAATTAGATATATTAGGGATGTGTGTGTGTGTGTGTGTGTGTGTGTGTGTGTGTAGAGAGAGAGAGAGAAAGAGAGAGAGAGAGAAAGGGTGGTGGTGGTGGTGCAGGCATTGGAAAGGGCAGGACAGGAAGGAAAGACAGGAGCTGAGAGGGAGTAAGGGAACGGTGTCTGGCCCTAGTGGGTTCATCAATACACATCTGTTGAGTGTTTATTTGTGTGTAGGGCCCTAGTTAGGCCTTGAGGCTAGATTAGAGACTAGTGAAAAAGATATGAGCTCTGAGGCCTGACCTCAAGGGGCTTTCAGTCTAGTTGGGGAGATTGAACATGTATCTAAAAGGTAAATCATAATAATATCAGTTAAGCTGGCGTATGGGAAGCAGGACAAATAATAAATACTCTTTGTTGGGGAGGGGGAGAAGCCTCATGGAGTTTTGGGGTAGCGAGGGATGGCCAAAGGGGGGAGGCCGGTTTGACTGGGATCTTGAAGGAAAACTCAGAAGTTAGTTGTAGGTATCAGACAGGAGGGGGAGGGTATTCTAGGAAGGCCAGAAACATGGCAGCTAGGATTCACGTGGATCACTGAAGGGGGTTGTAGATTTAGAGCTGGAAGAGACCTCAGATCAAGGATCCTCATTTTACCGATGAGGAAACTGAGGCCCAGAGAAATGAAATTACTTGCCCGGGGTCATCCAGTTAATAAGTGTCTGAGGTAGAATTTGAACCCAGGGATTTCTGAATCCAAATCCAGCGCTCTGAACCATGCTGCTTCCTATTCAGTAGTTCAACAGAGCTCGAGTGGATGCTGGATGTAAGGTAGTAGTGGCAGAAAAGATTGAAAAGGTATTTGAGACTAGCTAGAGGTGGACTTTGAATGCCGAGCAGACTAGTTTAGACTTCATCTTACTGGCACCAGGAAGCCCCTAAAGCAAGGATGTGCTACTAAATATTTAACAACTGGCTTTCAAAAAAAAAAAAAAGTACAAACAACACACTTTTATTTATTTATATTTTTATGTAAATAATATTTTATTTTTTCCAATTACATATAAAGATAGTTTTCAACATTCATTTTTTATAAGAATTTGAGTTCGAAATATTTCTCCCTCCCTCCCTTCCCTAAAATGGCAAGCAATCTGATATAGGTTATACATGTGTAATCATGTTAAACACATTTCCACATTAGAAATGACACGCTTTTAAGTTTTTTTTTTGTTTTTTTAGGCAATTGGGGTTAAGTGACTTGCCCAGGGTCACACAGCTAGTAAGTGTCAAGTGTTTGGTCTGAGGCCAGATTTGAACTCAGTTCCTCCTGACTTCAGGGCCGGTGCTCTATCCACTTCGCCACCTAGCTGCCCCTAACACACTTTTAAGTTTAATCTGCATTATTAACAATTTCTCCATCACTTTTTTTTTGAGACAATCAGGGTTAAGTGACTTGCCCAGTGTCACACAGCTAGTAAGTAACTGAGGTCACATTAGAACTCAAGTTCTCCTGACTCCAAGCCCAGCATTCTTTCCGTTTCCCCACCTAGCCGCCCCTCTCCATCACTCTCTTAAGTCTAGACAATCAACACAACAATAAATCAAGCCCTGATTTGTAGCATTTGCTGATTTGCTCACACTGAATGTTTAACAATCAACTCTTTCCAGTGGTTTGAGCTGGCTCCAGCACACTCCTGTTCTGAAAGCTTTTGAGGAGGCATACATGTCAAGGAGGCAGTTAGAAATATAGCACTAAAGCTCACAGAACAGGTCCAGGGTGGTGGTGTAGACTTGGGAGGCAATGATCGCCCAAAGCAGATAAGATCTCAGAGGCAGAGAGGATAGATCAGAGGTGGGGAACCTGTGGCCTCCAGGCCACATTTGGGTGGAGGCCCTTGAGGACCTAGAGGGCCACATGTGGCCTCAAGGCCGCAGGTTCCCCACCCCTGGAATAGATATATCCAGAACAGAAAGAGACCAGAACAATATTTCTTCCATTGTATCTTCCAGCCACCTAACACCAGTACCTGTTGCATAAGGAGCCAAGGATTCTTACCTTTATTGTGTTGTGGACCTTTGTGTCTGGTGAAGCCTAGAATAATGTTTTTAAATGCATAAGATAAAAACACATAGGATTACAAAGAAAACCTGCTATATTGAAATACAATTATAAAAAAATATAAACAAGTTTATAGACTCCAGGCTATGAGCCCTTGAAAAGTAAGTGGTTAATAAATGCTCACTGAATGAATGAATTTGTGGAATGTCTTTTTCAGGTGCCTACTACCTCGGATGACTACAATGAAAGCCTTTCCCGAGAAAACCCTGAAGGCATCGCTAACACTTTGCCAGGTAAGAGTCCAGTGTTCAGGGGCAGCTAGGGGGCGCAAGGATAGAGCACCAGCACTGGATTTAGGAGGACCTGAGTTCAAATCTGACCTCAGACACGTAACACTTACTAGCTGTGTGACCCTGGGCAAGTCACTTAACCCCATTGCCTAACCAAAAACGAGTCCAGTGTTTAGTTTCTAGGAGCTCTGGGTTAAGCTGTGGATGGAAAGAGCATATGAAAAAATCTTAGTAATTTTGAATAATGGGTTGATAACCAATCTGATGAGTTTGAATTGGAAAAGACTATTAAGAAATGCGCTAGAGTCACTTCCCAACTGTGTTGTATTACTTGAAGCTGAGATAGAGCTGACTGCTGATAAGAAGTTTATGCAAAATGTTCATTCCTGAGAAGCTCACAGTGTAGATGTGCACACATATGTACCACACATAAACACATGTTATATACATACATTTACATGTATGTATGTGTGTATATGTATCTATATGTAGTATATATACAAAGATTGTTGTTTAGTCATTTTTCAGTTGTGTTCAATTCTTTGTGACCTCATTTGGGGTTTTCTTGGCAAAGATACTGCAATGGTTTGCCCTTTCCTTCTCCAGCTCATTTAACAGATGAAGAAACTGAGGCAAACAGGGTTAGGTGATTTGCCTAGGGTCACATAACTAGGAAGTGTCTGAGGCCAGATTTGAACTTAGGTCCTCCTGCCTCCAGGACCAACACTCCATCCACTTCATGCACTCCAACCACGTAGCTGCACAACATAACCAAATATCTCTAACTTCCTTTAGGTAATCCACCCTGAAGCTAGCAAACTTGGAAACTGTGCCTCAGTTTCCTTATCTGTAAAGTGGAAATAAGGGTACTTGCCCTATCTATTCTCACAGAGTATCTGTGAAAAAGTTCTTTATATATTGTAAAGTGTCATACAGATGTAAAGGGTTGTTTATGTTGAATTGATCTTCTCAAAGCCACATCTGTGCCCTAAGGAGGAGACTTGGTATCTGTTCAAAACAGCTGCTTTACTAGCCTGCACAAGACTGTGGTCAGACTTTAAAAACTCAGAGAGATCCATCCGGCTTTGTATGACTGGTAGGGAGGATGGGTATGCAAATACCCATGAAAGAAGGTAGTGGTAGCACTTCCGTAGAGGCCCAAGCTGGCCTAGACATGGTTGGACTTGTGCTGAGTGGTTGTTGTTTTTTTTAATTTTCAGAAGCAGTATGTCATAGTGAGAGGTTTGGGGGTGCAACTAGGTTATGCAATAGGTAGAGTGCTGGCCCTGGAGTCAGGAAGACTCATCCTTCTGGGTTCAGATCCAGCCCCACGGCTTAATAGCTGGGTGATCCTGGGCAAGTCACTTAACTCCATTTGCCTCAGCTTCCTCATCTGTAAAATAAGCTGGAGAAGGACATGGCAAACTAGTGTCTTTGCCAAGAAAGTCCCAAATGGGGTCACAAAGTATGGGACACAATTGAGAAATGACTAAACAACAACAATAACATGGCATAGTAGAAAGATTAATGGACTGATTAAATAAATTAATTAATTAATTGTAAAATGGATTAATTAAAAGATTAATACAAGAGAATCTGTGTTATCACTTACCAGCTGTGTGATGTTGGGAAAGTCATTAACTTCTCTGAGCCTTAGTTTCCCTCTCTGTAAAATGGAGATGATGATATTTGTTCTATTTCACTACTAACCTCCAAGATTTCTTGGGCTATTGGGAGAATGGAATTAAAGAAGTTATATGAAAGAACTTCATAAACCTCCAAGTGCTAATTAAATGTGAATAATCGTCATAGCATTGATTATTTGGAGCTGAAAGAGTCTTTAAAAGGTATCTAATCTAATACCTACATTTCATAGGATCACAGATTTAAAACTGGAAGAGATTTTAGGAACGATCTAGTCCAGAGGTGAGGAACTTGCAACCTCAAGGTCACATGTGGCCTTCTAGGTCAAGTGTGGCCCAAATCAGTCAAAGGGCTACACTTGGGGACCTAGAGGGCCATATGTGGCCTTGAGCCTGCAGGTTCCCCCCCCACCCCGAAATCTATCTCCCTCATTTTACTGATGAGAAAATTGTGGCATAATGAGGGTAAGTAAGTTGTCCAAGGTCTCACAGCTCGAACATTTCTGAGGCAGGATTTGAACTTGAGCTTTTCTGGACCTCACGCCTAGCATTTCATCCATTACAGCAGATGAATAAACTGAAATTCAGAGAGGTTATTACTTGCCCAAGTTCACATGAGTAATAGAGCCAGAATTTGAACCCACATTCTTTGATTCCAAATTCAGTCCTCTCCTCACTGCACCAGGCAGCCTCTCAGATAGGGGCAATGTTGTCGTCATTGTCGAGAGAGCACAGGACCGGGAGTTGGGAAAGCATGGCTTCCAACCCCACCTACTATTTACATCACTGCTAGATTATAAGCATCTTGCAGGCAAGGATGATGCCCCTTTTGTGTTTATATCCCCAGCATGTAGCATAGTGCCTGGCATGTAGTAGACACTTAATAAATGCTTATTGATTGGTTACTAGTTGTGTGTCCCTGGACAAGTTCTTTAACCCCTCCTGAGCCTCAGAGCCTTGTAATTTATAGACTAGTTATGATCTGTACTGGTGGAAGGAATTTCTACACTGGGAGTTGCTCCACACTGATGAGTACTGTATCCTTCCTGTATTTAAGTTTTATTATATGTGTGAGCTTTCATCATTGTGTTTACGTATGAGATAGCTCCTTCAAAACTTAGAATACTATGTATATACGGGCGTACCTTGGAGATACCAAATGTTTAGTTCCAGATCATGGCAGTAAAGCAAGCAACGCAAATTTTTTTGTTTCCCAGTGCATATAAAGTTATATTTACACTATACTGTAGTCTTTTAAGTGTGCAATAGTATTATGTCTAAAAAACCAATATATATAATCTTAATTAAAATACTTTTTTGCTAAAAAATGCTAACCATCATCTGAGCCTTTACTGAGTCATAATCTTTTTGCTGTGAAGGCTCATGCCTCGATATTGATGGCTGCTGAAGGCTGGGATGGCTGTGGCAATTCCTTAAAATAAGACAACAGTGAAGTTTGATGTATCCTCCTCCTTTCATGTGAAAACTTAGAGGCTATTGTAGGGTTATTAATTGGATTAATAAAACAACATTTGTAGATTAGGTTCGCTCTCTTATATGGATGAAGTTCATGGGGCCCCACAACAATTATAAGAGTAATATCAAAGATCACTGATCACAGATCACCATAACAGATATAACAATAAGGGTAAAGTTTGAAATATTGCAAGAATTACCAAAATGTGACATAGAAACACAATGTGAACACATGCTGTTGGAAAAATAGCACTGATGCAGGGTTGCCATAAACCTTCAATTAAAAAAAAATGCAAAAAAGCGAAGTGCCATAAATGAGGTATACCTGTGTTTTGTTTCTCTCCCCCTCTTCTGCAGTGCCTGGCTCTAGTCATTCACCCTACACATTCCTACTAGCTGGTGGAAGCCTGGTCTTAGGAATGGTTCTCTTCGTTGGCATTATCTTGAGGTAAGATGGCCCCCACTGGGATGGTTGTGTACCACTTGCATTCTTGATACCCATATGACTGGGCCATCTTAAAGTAATATCGTTATCAGGTTCTGGGCCATGATGACAGAATAGTCAAACTTATGCTAAAGACACCAAATCATCCTTGCTCTCATTTTGTAAGTGTGTTTTTAAGAAGAGGTGGTGCAGACGTCGATATGGAGAGCAGGATTTCCTTTTCAACCATCCCTTTCCACTTTTTACACAGGTATTTGTTTTTGTACTCACTCTGAATCCCTAAACAACTTAGCTCAGCATAGTTTCCTGGCTTATTTAACAAACGAATGACCATTAAGGAAAAATTACAGTTCTCTTGATTTAACTTTAGAAATCTGCAAATTGGTGTGTGCTTGAGGCCAAAAAGAAATTAGTACAGGATGGTTTGGGGACATTTATTGTTTGTGATTTGAGAAACAGAATTGAGTAACAAGTGGAAAAAAATGTAATAAATTCATCTTTCTTTTATCTTAGCTTTGTGTATGATTTTCATGGGAACCTATGTCTGGAGGCCAGAGCCATAATTAGATTTTTGTTTTTTTAAGTTTGTGGTAAAAACAGAGGATGTTAGCAGTGCTGAGGACAGTAAGATGGGGGAAGGGGGAAAGGCACAGAAGACAATCTGATCATGAGCGCATTCAAAGTTCATTCTCCTCAATACCCTATACCTTTTTTTGGGGAGGGGAGGCTAGGCAATGGGGTTAAGTGACTTGCCCAGGGTCACACAGCTAATAAGTGTTATGTGTCTGTGGCTAGATTTGAACTCAGGTCTTCCTGAATCCTGGGGCTGGTGCTCTATGCAGTGTGCCACCTAGCTGTCCATAATACCCTATACCTTTAAGGCAAAGTCCCATTCTCTCGGTGCTAGTCCTGTGCTGGTTATAATTCTCACATTAAGCTTATTAATATAGATAGATTCCTTTGTCCTTTTAGGCAACAATATCCCTGTCTTGCCAAAAGAACTTGACAATTCATTAGGAGAAAAATTAAGTTGAACTGATAACTTTTATGATGTTAATACATCATACTGCAGAATAATAACGGTTGAAAAATTTCATCCTTTGGGTACCTATCATCTGTCAATCAGGCTTTCTGTACCAAGCTATGACTGGTCTGTGGGTGACAGTAACTATGCCCACACCTGTTTAATAGCCAGATGACACAGTGGATAGAGCACTGGGCCTAGACTCAGGAAGACTGGAGTTCAAATCCAGCCTCAGACATTCCCTAGCTGTGTGACCCTGGGCAAATCACTTACCCTCTGTCTGCCTCAGTTTCCTTATCAGTAAAATGGGGATAATAGCACCACCTCCCTCACAGGGTTGTTGTGAGGATAAGATGATATAATATTTATAAAGCACTTAGCGAATACACCCCCCCCAAAAAATCTTGTTTATGTGTATGTTTCTTCTCCAATATAATTCCAGCAATAAGAAGCAACTACGGCTTAATGGAAAGATCTTTGAATCTGGGTCAGGGTTAGAATACTAGTTCTAGCACTTACTATGTGACTTACTACGTTAGTAGAAATTAATATTATCTGTGTTGTATTGTACCTTTATTTATTTTGTTTAAATATGTTCTCATTGATGGAAATAATTCCAAATGACATTTTAATCTGGCTTGCATGGCATTTGGGAATTTTGTAGGCCGCTTGAAACCAATGGGCCATGACTTTAACCGCTGTGAACTGGATGATTGTTAAAATTCCTCCCAGCTCTAAATCCCATGAACTAATAGGATTGTTGAGTTAAGGGGAAGGACCAGGTCAGCATTTTGGTTAGAATACTGCCAGATTGGCCTCCAAAAGGCTTACAGCAATTAAGTCCTCTCAACAATACAATAGGGCACCTGTTTGCCCACTGCCCATCGCAATGGAATTTTATTGCTTTTAGTTATTTTTGGTAGTTTGCTGGGTGTAAGGTTTAGCGGATAGAGGCCTGGTCTTAGAATCAGAAAGACCTAGTTCCTGCCTCTGTAGAACTGAGTTGAATTGAAACCTCTCATGTGGCTCTGGACAAATCACTGATCTCTTAGTGCTTTCTGAGCACTCTAAGTTTTAGATCATTTGCTCATCTGCATTGGTGAAAGGAATTTTAACACTGGGAGTTCTCTAAACCAATGAAATCACAGGTCTGAACCCCTCTGCCCCACAAAAATAAAGGATGGTATCTTAAAGTTGTTTAAATTTCATTTAAATCGTTTTGATATTAGAGAATTTAAACAGTTTTAAAAGTGTTTATTGACAATTTTTATCTCTTGCTTCACAATCGTCTGTTCGTGCCCTTTGATTACTGTTCTCCTGGAGAATATATAATAACATTGTACATTTAAAAATAGAAGGAATCTTGAGGCCATCTGGTCCACCCCCTACCCCACCCTGCCATTTTTGGGGTGAGAAAATCAAGGTCAAGGGAGGTGAAGGGAGGCTTGACCAAAGACATTAGCAGCAAAGTTGGAATTTGAACTGGTGTTCTTTGATTCCCACATCCCCTAGTGTGCTGGCCCATGCTTGAAAATCGCTGCTATTAGAAGAGGCCATTAGCTGAGTCTGGGAGTTCTGAACTTCAGTTGGGCTAAAGCCAGTTGGTTGTCATTACTAAGCCCCGTCCCAGGATGGGGAGCTCTTCACCCTGCCCCCGGGGAACATGTGGACACAAGTGGGTGATTCACTGGTCTATGTTGGAAACAGAGAGGGTTAAAGCTTCTGTGCTGATCAACAGTGGGCTCAGGTTTGGGAGTCCCCACTGCACTCCCAGCCTAGGTGAGATACAGACCTCATCTTAAAGAAAAAAAAAAAAAGAGTACTGAGCCCATTGGGAAACATGGGCAGGATCAGAATAGGTTTCAGCAATTGGGAAAGCAATCCACAGGGGTGATTGGAAGGGCGGTGGTATCATTGGCAGAGATAAGAAAGTTCAGAAAAGGATAGGTTTAAGGGGAAGGAAAGGGAAGGGAATAAGCATTTATAGGCCATGTGCCAGGTACTGCCCTAAGTGCTTTATAAATATTATATCATCTTGTCCTCACAAAAACCTTGTGAGGGAGGTGGTGCTATTATCCTCATTTTACAGATGAGGAAACTGAGGCAGACAGAGGGTAAGTGATTTGCCCAGGGTCACACAGCTAGGGAATGTCTGAGGCTGGATTTGAACTCAAGCCTTCCTGACTCCAGACCCAGTGCTCTATTCACTGTGTCATCTAGCTGTAGAGTAGATGTGGCCATAGTGATCGTGTTGCCCACAGACTGGTCCTAGCTTGGTACAGAAAGCCTAATTGCCAGATGATAGGTTCCCTAGGGATGAAGTTTTTCAGCCATTATTATTAGGCAATTCTAAAGTGGGATTTTTTTTTCACACAGACCATTGTCTCCATCTCCCCCCATCCAAGGAAAATATTAACAGTTGACATTCCAAGAGCACTTTTTAAGGTTTGCAAAGAACCTGGCATACATGATCTCATTTGTGATCATAAGACAGTTAAGTGGTGTAACGTTGGGTTCCGAGTCAAGAAGATCTGAATTCGAATCCTATCTCAGATGCTTACTAGTTGTGTGATCCTAGGCAAGTCACTTAAATTCAGTCTACCTCAGTTTCCTGGTCTATAAAATGAAGATAATAATTATACCTTCCTCCTAGGCTTGTTGTGAGGATAAAATGAGATCATATTTGTAAAGCACTTCGCAAACCTTGAAGTGTTAAATAATTACTAGCTACTTGAACTTCACAATAGGTTTTATTTCATCATACGGACGAAGAAACTGAGGCTCAGAGAAATCCTGTAATGTTTTGCATAAGTCACACAACTTAGGAGGCTCTCACCTGACACATACTGGCTCTGGGCAAGTTATTTAACCTGTCAGTGTACCAGGCAACTCTGGTATATGTTGCAGAGAGTGGTGACCTGCCTCGGTGGAGGGACTTTCCTTTTCTGGGAGTGACCTCTATCAATGAAATCCTAGGTCTAGTAAGCATGTAGGGTTGTGGTGTTGGTAAGTGTTTCACAACTGGCTCTCTGCAAAGGTGTTGCCATGACATACCTTGAAGTTTAATTTGCATTCTCATCATTTTTTCCATCCCTCTCTTAAGTGTGGAAAACAAATCAAGCCCGGATTTGTAGCATTTGCCCATTTCTGAGGCATAAATGCGCAGACTGAAAATGTAACAATCTGCTTTTAAGAGCTGGTTTGAACTGGCTCCATTCCTGCCCTTAAGCTATCTGGACATCTTGCTGTGCATTCCTGCTGGTACATGTGGTCTGGGATTTGAATCTGGATCTCTCCTGACTTCAATTCAGGTTCTCTTTTCATTATACCACACCACCTCTAGAATCTGCTTTACAGCAAACTTATCTGGGATTGATTAATTTCTATTAGGTAAGAGCTTCCCTACACATATATACACACATACATACATACACACCTACATGTGCACGTAGTATGTATAGATTATAATGCTACTTCATAATTAAGATTGTGTCAGGGGCAGCTAGGTGGCGAAGTGGATAGAGCATCGGCCCTGGAATCAGGAGGACCTGAGTTCAAATGTGACCTCAGACACATAACACTTACTAGCTGTGTGACCCTGGGCAAGTCACTTAACCCCATTGCCTAACTAAAAAAAAAAAATATTGTGTCTACTGCATCCATTGTAGTATCCCTAAAAAGATGAAAGGTAGGGATTTTGCAGATAGAAAGACTGAAGTCCACAGAGGTTAAATTCACTGTATGTAAGTGCACAGCTCAAGGAAGGTTGATATAATCTGTTCAGGGTTGTGATACAACATCTAGCCATTGGCCCTGCTCATTTCTACTATTGGGAAACATCTGCGAATTGAAGTCTCACTAAGATACTGCAGACGCCATTAAATTTTTCTCTCTGAGTCCCAGGTTAAGGGCCAAGTAGCAATGTGGATAAAGATAGCATAGAGAAATGAAACTCAAGAAAAATCTCCATTGTTCGTTTTGAGTGCTGGTCTCATGTTCCCCCAAACAAAGCAGCTAACCTATAATGATGAATAAATTGAAATTAGAGATCTCAGCTTGGAAAATTGGAAAGATGACTTGGATTTGTGATCAGTGGAACTGGATCTGAGCAGTACCATGGTGGATACTTGTTCTGCCTCTTACTATCTGTTTGTATGACCTTGGGCAAGTCATTTATGCCTCAGTTTTCTCATCTGTAAAAATGAGGGGGTTGGGCTGGATGGCCCTTAAGGTCTCTTCCGGCTCTAAATCTGATGCTATGTTCTTCCTTGCCTTGCCCACCTTCAGAGGAATCAAGGAATCAAGGGGTAGTCAAAGTATGAGTAGCAGTAGGATCATAGAACTCATAGCTGAAAGGTGCCTTAGAGATAATTTTGTTCTCCTACTCTGATGTTACCTATGAGGTAACTAAGACTGAATCCAATTCAACAAGCCTTTATTAAGAACCTACTGTATACAGGGTACTAAGAGGTACAGAGACTTTTTGAGGTCATGTGGACAGGAAGTAGCAGAACTAGATTTGAACTCAGATTCTCTTGTTCCAAATCCAGAAGGAAAGGAAACCAAGGGGCCTGGACTGTCCAGAGCATAGGTCATCTGTCCCAAGATCACTGAGATACGGCAGGACCTTGGGTTGTGGATAATAAACCTTTCTTTTGACTCCCAAACTGTTCTTCTCAGGTACTTAGGTTTGGCACGAGGCCCTGGGGGCTGAATACTCCATCAGAAACTGTGATCACAGAGATGTCTATCTCTTTCCTGTTGAACACTGTCTTTCCTGTTGAATGAGTCACTTTTGCCCAAATGGTGCCCGCAGCAGGGCTCTGTTGGAGCTGTTGAAGCTCAATATGCCTCCCAAGAGTTGGAGAGCCTGGAGATGAAATCTCCCATGGGCTGTGTTGAGAGATGCAATTGTTGATAGGGAGGAAGGAACATCAGTGGAGGGAGAAGCAGGAGAGCTATAGAGGGAGGGAGTGGCGCAGTGCTTCCTTGCTATTTATTCACTCCCAAAAACACCTTTGCCTGCTATTTTTCAGCGGCAGTATTCATTTGTCTGATGTGCCATTTTATTTTCTACTCTAGTAAAAAGAATACATCTTATTTTCAAATTAGTTTCAGTGCTGAGTGTAGGAATTGAAGTTGTAGTCTCAAGAACTGCACCACAGGGGTTGTCTGTTTCCTCATCTGTATGGTTGGAAGGATGATACTGTCCATACATAGGAGGTATTTTTGAAAGACAGCAACTTTTAAAAATTATATATACATATATATATATATATATATATATATATTCCCCCCAATTATCAAACATGTATCAGCAGCTCTTTAAAGTATTTCTGAGGCCTTTGACTTAGGATCTTCTGGAAACAGATAGCACTATGAAAAACTTAGTTAGGATCCCTTTGATAGACAGCTGGGTGTAGTGGAGAGGGTGTTGGACTGGGAGTCAGGAAGACCTGAGTTCACATCCCACCTTAGGCACTTTTTAGTTGCATGGCCCTGGGCAAATCACTTAAGTTCTTTGTGTTTTCTCATCTGTTAAATGAGGGGGTTGACCTCAGTAGTCTCCATGGTTCCTTTTCAACACTAAATCTATGATGTTATGATCTGACCTGGGAGTCTGGCCTCATCAAAGTGGTCCGGATAGAAATGTTTTTCATGATGTAGGGGAGCAGCCTTGCTGAAGAATGATTTGTCAGTACATGTAACCATCTGGGTTTCTTGTTTTGTTTCTCTTTGTGTGCATGTATTATCAAGGTACAGAAAAAAGTCGAAGTTGACAGCTTTGAAAGAAGGCAAGCCAAATGTGCTCCCTCCATATTCTTTGGGTCCGTTGGTCCCTGAGAAGCCCCAGTCAACCACGGTGCTGGTTCCCTTCATCTCTCCATCAGAGTCTGCCAGTAGCTCTGAGCCTACCAATGCCCCAGGGCACAGTGGGAAAGACATCGTGGACCTCCAGAGTCCTTACGACATTACCAACAGAGACTATTTTTTCCCGAGGTAGACCCAAACATGCATGGAGCATTTGGGCTTCAGGTAGGCCAAATTCTGTGGCACAAAGGAAGACTGAATGAACTATCAAGAAAGATGCTTCTCAATGTCATTTCAGTCTACCTGCTGATGGGGCTGGTGCTTTGGGTTTCTCCTGACTTATTGCTCCACTGGGGAAGCTGAACTGGGCTCCCTCAGAGAACCAGAATGCTTTTTAGGTCCAAGAAGGGCTTCACGCAGTGAGGAGATGGTATTCTGGGAGCAAATGGATTGATTCCCACCAAGCAGGAGGAAAAGGTGGTTGGATTTCAAAACCACCATGTCTCATGATCCTCTGAGTAACTGGGTTGGTAAGCCACCCCAGAGAAAGAGACATACACAAATGCATATGGAGGGCCATGAGCCCAAAAGGCTATGCTCCCCTGACAGGACACAGAGGAGGATGGGAATGAGGGGCCAGCTTGTTCCTAAGAACAACAGGACTAAAGAGAGAAGCTGTTGATGGTCTGGACTCAACCATCAACATTCCCTCATCCTCAAGGCATATCCCTCTCCTCATCTGGACACAATAATTTCTAGCATATCTGCCAGCCTGTCACTTCCTGTGGGCATATGTTCTTGCCCAATACACACTTTTCACCATCCTACCAAGGTTCTTGGTAGAAGAGTTGTTGAAGAAATTCAGCTTTTCTAGGCCTACCGCCCTCTTTCAGTTTCTTCCTTGCTGGTTTTTTTTTCTTCTCAAGATGCTACCTTCTTTTCCCATGAATACTGTTGAGATGGTAAATGTTGAGATGTAAATGGTGCTATCTCTTAGGACCAAATTTTAAAATAACACCCTTCCCCACGTTAACACGAGCACACATGCTCACACGCACACACACACACCCTACTTTTACCATATGTATATGTATATACACACATACACTGTATATAAAACACACCTACTAAGTATCTGAAAGCCTTTCCTTGCCCTCTCTGTAGTCCAACATCCTCATTTTACAGATGAGGAAACCGAGGCCCAGAGACTTGCCCAAGGTCCTACAACTCTTTGGTTCACAGTGTTCCACCCCCACCCCACCCCTCATACGAGGAACAGAGGCTATCTTTTTTCCACTTAATGGCAGCTAGGATGTGGCAGTATCCTTTCCTTCCAGTTCACTTAAGCATATGGCTCCCTTTCATGTGAAGCATGAAGTCTCATTTTTACTACAGTTTTATGTTTTGTTTTGTTTTGAACTGAACTCAAGTAAGCAGGGAGACAATATTTATGTGAATAGGGATGTGAAAAGAAAAGAATAAGCAAGAATGTAGTTTTTATTTAGCTTTTTTTAAGCATGTTAACTTTCTTTTTCTTTGAGAGGAAGAACATCCGATATTAGAATAGGGTCTGTGTATAAATAACTCAAGCTAAAAGCACAATAACTTTGTACAGCTGAGCCAAGTAAAAAAGAAGAAGGAGGAAGAAAACATTTTTTTCCTCTTTCCCTTATACTCTCCCTCTCTCAAGAGGAAGGATTCTAGTATTATTTTGTTTTTGATGAATTTACTTTAAAAGCCCACAGAAATCCCTCCTCTCCTTTGCCCTAGAATTACCCATTAGAATTAGATCACAGAATCTTCAAATTGAGAGAGACCTTAGAGTTCATCTAGTTCAATCTGTGTTATTTTATAGATGAGGGAACTGAGGCCAAGAGATCTACCTAAGATCACAAAACTTATTAGTGGCAGAGCAGAAATTCAGAGCCAGGTATCTGGACTTCTGTTTTACTCTTCTATGTTGCACCTTCATCCCTGGAAAGGATGGAAGAAATGATAGTGGATTTGTCTGGTAGAAAATGTTATGATATAAATATGACACAATTGCTAAGAACGGTCAATGGAAAAACACCTCGTCACTTGGAATGATTAGAGTTCTTTGGGCCAGAAAAGGCTCATAGGAAAATTCGTTATCTCTCTTCCCACCTCTACCACCTTTTTAATGCTTCTCTAATTTATCCTTTCAGTCAAGTGTTCCATATTCACCTTCTCCCCACCCCAAGTTTGCCCGGCTACCCTCTTCTCTAAGAAAAGGTAGGTAAGAAAAACAAAAGCAAAAATCACATCATTTCGCTATTTGCCCTGAACACTTTGTTGTGATTGGCACTGGCTAAGGGGGCAGGTTGGCCAGAAGGTTAGCCTGTAGAACCAGGAGACCTGGCTTTTGTCCTGGCCCTGCCGCTAATTAACTAGGTGATGTTAGTCAAAATGCGTTCACTCTTTGCACTTCAGTTAGCACATCTGTAAAATGGGTCTGATAACGGGAGAAGTTGGACAAGGCAGTGTTGCTAACCAAGGTCCCTTCCAGCTCTAAGTTTTGTGATGTCCAAGGCTTATTTGCAAAGCTGGCTTAAACTGTGAACTTTCGAAAGCCTGTTGCTGGCTAGGCAGTGAATCTTAATTCACAATAGCATCAAGCAGGTTTTTTAAGGTTGGTTGGTTGATGGGTGGTTTTTAAATTTTTTTTTTAATGTTATCTGAAGTTTCATAAAGGTTTCTGGGACCTGAGCACAGCAGAAATAGTGCTCAGAGGAAACTTCAAAATAAGCATCTGCCTTACAAAGGATCGTTCTGTGCCTTGCAGTTCTTGAAGTATTTGAAAGGTTTTTTTTTCCTTTTTGCCCACATACAAGCTTAACAAACTCAAGCTGAGCCAAGTTCGACTGAGATGTGAAATTCAGATAACTCATTATCTCTGAGAGCCAGCAAGCTTTGATCTCAAAATGATGATTGCTCTCAGGATTACTGTAACCCTGAAGGTTTGTTTTTTGTTATTTTTTTTTTTTTTACTAACCAAAGAGCACTCCCCAACCCTCTGCTTCTGCCTTTGTTTTCCTGTCTCTCTGTCTTTCTGAATCTCTCTCAGTAAGCTAGGATAAAAGAAGCATAAGTCAGTTTGAACCTTCTTTTTTGAGTCCTATCCCTTCCCTGAGAAAGAACTACTCCAGATCGTCTTAAGAGGTGGCAAATTCCCCACCACTACAGGAGCTCAAGCAGACACTGGATGACCACTAGGTGTGGACTGCATAAAAGGGCTCTTGCTTCGGATTGGGATTTGGCTAGACAACTTTTGAGGTCACTTTTAACTCTGCAAATGTATGATTTGAAGTCCTAAGCCAGCACTAAGATTCTCCTTCATCTTGACTGACTATTGACTTTAATCCATGGGAGGCCATTTTGACCCAAACCTTATCTTCTTGTGTTGGCCTTCATCCGTGATGATGGTGCTAGGGACTCAACATCAGCAGCCATCTGCATAGTTGCTAGACATGTACATTTATAGTAAAAGCCAGCATGACAAGAATATCCACTTACTCTTTTGACTATGAAGAATTGGAAACCCCTGTCTGTACGATGTTTGTATTGAAATTGTTGTGCAGCCTTGAGGCTTATTGGAATGAGAAACACCAAAGAATGTGTTTTGAGCAATGCTGGGTCCATCTCGCCATTAGTAACCCTCAGAGAGTCCTTTTCGCTAAAGCACAGCAATGAATTTATGAGTTCATTTGCCAGGGACAAATTGTCAGAAGCATCCTGGAAGAGAAGGGAAAATTGTGTCTCTGATGAAAACAAGCACTAGTAGGGTGGGAAGGAGTGTGCATCTCTTAGGGAAGAGAATCGCGGCCTGAGACAGGATCCAGGTAAGGATAAATCAAAAATTCAGGCCAGGTAAACATCAGGGTCTCTTTGATGTGCCTAAATCCAACGATTTGAGATGGAAGTAGAAAACCCAGTGGAGGAGTTGAGATTCAGACTTGGAGTGGGGTACCAAATAAAGTGACGAGAGACAGGGAGTGTGGGAGAAAACTATTTAACTCAACCTGCCTCTCCCAAGCTTCAACCTTTTCTGGTGTCTGTGACCCATTCCCCACCCCTGCTTTGCACTGGCAGGTTTACTAGGTCATAGGACAGATCTACCATGCTCCTTGTATACTCAATAAGGCTTTGGGGCACCAGAACTCATACTGTATTTCAGCCACTTCTGTGCCTGTGGGAAATGGACAACTGTCAATAACCTAATCCCAAATTTCCTTGTACATATTGGAGAATCTGGGCCATCTCAGCCAGAGCATGGATTGCAGGTAGGACTGATGGCTAGGTAGCTATGGCTGGTAGCATCTCCCATTCCCTGATGAGAAGGGTCATGGTTTCCGAATTCCTCAGGGAGCATTCCAGAACCTCATCCTCTTCCTCTTTCACACTGAGTCAGCCTGTATCTGTGTTTCCTGACCTAAAGCCATGCTTCAGGTGTATGCAGTGTTTTGGAGGCTGGAGACAGTCTGAAGACATTTCACTTTGGAGAAATGATGAAAACCGAGGATGGTGATTTTGAGCAAGAGTATGGGACCCTGGTTTTCTACTCAGGTCAATGACCAAAATGTAGGGCTTCTGGAAAGTTTGTAACAGTTTCTAGAGAAGGTGGGGTGGGAGGTTTGGAGGGCTGGGGAGAGCCCTGAGCATAGCACTCAAAGCAGATGTCTCTTCTAATTAGCTAATGTCAATCTTTGCGTCACATCCTTGGGGTGGCTGGGAGCCAGCCATCCAGGGTTTCTATGGTAACATTAACATTAATTAAGGGACATTCTCAGTTTCATGAATGTTGGTTCAAGCTAAGATGCTACTAGAGAAATAAGCCTGCTCCACATTGGAGAATTCTAGAAGGTGGCAAGGCGACTAATGCTACAGAATTTACCTGAATGTAAATCACTGGCTTGTTTTTGCAAAATACCTCAACTGTATGTGATTTTGTCAACAGAAGTAAGATTTCTCAACTGTCGACCTGATTTCCTGAAAGCATTTACCAAAGGTTATTTTCTGTATCAATAGGATACCTTTTCAATATATGTTCTATCTGCTGTTTTTATTTTCATTTAAAAAACTATTTTTTAATGTTTGAAATAAATACATTTTTAAAACTTATGTCTGAGATGAATTTGCATTTGGGGTTCCCAGACTATTTGGAAAGACTATATGGACAAATGAAAGGCAGCATGGCATAATGAACAGAGAAACCTTGGAGGAAGGAAGACTTGGGTGCAAGTACTACCTCTAACATACACTAACTGTGTGACCATGGGCAAGTTGATCACCCTTTCAGTGCTCTAGGCAACCCTGTAAGACTCTAAGTTACAGAGAAATTACATATTTGCATTGGTATTGGAAGGGGAGTTTCCATACTGGGAATTCCTCACACCAGTGACATCACAGGTCTAGGGACCAACCAGAAATAAGTCTGTGACCTGAAATGTCACTTTCTGGAACGAAGTTGCCTCATCTGCACGGGAAAATGAGGAGTTTGAGCAAGAAATAATAAGAGCATTTATTTTTTAAATTTTTTCATTATTTTTTTCTTTTTAGGCAATTGGGGTTAAGTGACTTGCCCAGGGTCACACAGCTAGTAAGTGTCAAGTGTTTGATCTGAGGTCAGATTTGAACTCAGGTCCTCCTGACTTCAGGGCCGGTGCTCTATCCACTGTACCACCTAGCTTCCCCAATAAGAGCATTTATATAGAACTTTTAGGTTTACAAAATGTTTTAATAATAATAGCATTAATTTAACATTAATTAAAATCAATAAAGTAATAACATCCAGCTTTATATAAGCTCTTTAAGGTTTGCAAAGAGTTTTACCCATATTGTCTCATTTGTTTTTCAC